ACTCCGACAGCGACAGGAACGACTCCGATGAAGACGACGACGATGACGAAGAACGTATGTACACACAACATAACAAGGCAAACTATTGAATTCGTCGATAGACTTCGTGTGTAACTGTATGTATGTATGTTGCAGCTCTGCCGGGCAAGCAGCACAAGTACCGCAACATCAGCCAGCTGGAGTGGGACAACAGCACGATGTAATACCCCTCCACCGCCCCCGCCGCCAGCGGCACGTACTTACCCCGCCCCGTCTTCACTAATTACTTCCTTATCGTCTCCGCCATACGGTCCATTTTGCTATTTAACTAAGTAACATTATATTCGTTGATACAAGGCGGCCGTGTGACGTCACTCTCGAATGTTCTCCCGCAAACAGATAATGGAATTGATTTCGTAGTCTCTCCGCGTGTGCTCCCCGCGGTGATGTAAAATGCACTCTATTGCATCGCGATAGAGTCTAACTAGCGTACTCAAGCTTCAGCACTGTCTCGCGGCACAAGACTTTCTAATATAAGATTTGTTAGTCTTTAAAACTAAGGTCTCAAAATTGATCATATCAACTTTATACGTAATGAATAATTTCTCCCTCGCTCGCTTCTTTAGCTGAGGCTCGTCCGTCTGTTTGTAGTACTTTCGACACTTTTCTATCGTTTTTTTTTCTATTGTAAGTGAAGCGATGTATGTAATAATAAAATCAGTAGTCGTTGTAATTTCGTATGAGGTCGGATATGTAAGGTTTAGTGTTAAGAGGTCAATCGCTGCTTGTATATTACTACACTAAGTGACGCTTGCGCCGGCGCCGGCGCGCCCCCGCCCCCAGCCCCGCCCCCGCCACGCCCCCAGTTCGCATTTACGATAAGTACAAGGCGACTAAAGTAGATTGTTTCGTGTCCTGTACGATGACGTCACTGCGTCGCCGGCGCGCACACACTTCTAACCCTCTATGAGCTTTTAAACAAAAAATCGGCTTAAATGTATTTTAGGCACAGAGTTATTTGAAAACTTACATAGATGTATATTATACAAGTACTATATTAACGGTGTCGTTTTAGGATCAGCTATAGATACTATATTATAATTATATATATATTTTGAATGCGTTAAGAAAATTTTTACTAACGTTTAGATGTAAGCTACGTTAGTTTCTGTGACGCACACGCGCACAACGGCGCGGCGCCACTGCCCGCCCTTAGTTAAGTTGTACTGTTCCCTCAGTCGGGTGTTTCATTGGCCAGAGGGCAGCGGTCGCCGCACGGGAGAGGGCATTACCACCTTTCCTCTTATACGGACGTCATCGTTACTCAGCCCTCGTGTAGACGGCCGCGCTCTCCGTCTTGCATATCATGGACCTATTGCCATATTAGAGTAGAGTATTGTAAGCCGCTCCACTTCACACTATCTAAGCGATCCTTGTCGATCACGGTGTTTTACGAGCTGTTTGTCGCTGGCCGGCGCTTCGCTCAAACATCGACAATTCGTAACGTGGAGCGCGACTGGATGACGGTGTACTTGTCACGTTGACAGCTGTCAAAATCAACCACCAGTGAAGATGCGAGATAAAACGCGCGAAAAAAATCGAGCGACCGCCGCCGGCAGCCGCGCGTCGCCTCCACGATGTCGCAGTTTATTTGTTTTTAATTAAATTGTTACGTTAAACATTCGACAACCGTCCAATGATAATTTCCCCGTTGCTTAATATGTCGGTGAGATCTGCCCCCGCCCCGCAGCTCCGCCCCCAGTCGGCCCCAGCCCCGGCCCCCGCCCCGGGCGAGGCGGGCCTCTAACTTGTTAATCGTTGTGGGAAAACCTTTATTTTAACTTTGTATTGATTTTTCCATTATTTTTTTTTATTGTATTATTGCGGTATTACCTTATAATTAGGGATCTTCTTTGATGTATGAATTATTATATTTTAGCTAAAAATAAAGTTGGTTTAAAATATTTATTGATGTTTTATTTCCCACACCAGCGGCCGCTTGTTGCTTCCTACTCAGTTATTAGTCCAAAAGTATGAGAATATGTAATAAACTGCATTAGGCTTCAGAAACAAATTAACAATGTTTGGAAGATAACCACAAAGATAAAGTAGATATAATTCAAAATAAAAGGGATATAATGGATAGAAAAACTAGCTTTAAGTACATGGCGTCAATAGACATGTACAAATAATTTGTACATTATATTTAAGACTATTTAGCGGAATTCACAAAACACCTACTGAAATTCCACCAAAATTTCAGGGTCAGCGCCATCTATTGCTGTAATAACAACTTCTATCGCCATAGCACATTTAACAGTAGATGCAAATTGCAGCGCCATCTATTTAATTCAATGCAACTGTCTAAATCAAACGATAGATGGCGTTGAACATTTTAGATTTGACAAATAACGACTTACAGCCAACAGTGAAACGCAATTTAAATATGAATCGATCGATAGTTTTTTTTTTCAAATGTAAGTATGTCAAATTGCATCAAACTTTTAATCTAAAGGATTATCAAATTTTCGTTTTAAATAACAACTAAAAATTGTTTTACTAGTAAGAAAAGGAGACAAATACTATTAGGACTAAAATGCAGGAACAGTAACGGGAATACTGTAAACAGTAGAAGTGAGATCGCATAAAAAATTTAATAAACCGCCGAGTCTCGCTCCCCTTATAAAAATGTGTTAGACGTCATGTAAAACCTAGTCATTTTATTTAGTGTTTATTATGAAGCCTTGGCACTTACACGTCGCCATTAATCTTCAAATTAAAATACGTCATCCTCGAGTGCTTTGCTTAGATTTAGACAGAAATGGAATTACTATACTACTTATAGTAAGTGGCATTCTTTCACAATGGTGGCGCCGTAATTTCAAAGGCTTCATAATAGACACTAACTAAAATAACTAGGTGTTACATGACATCTAATATTTTTTTTAGGGAAGCGAAACTCGACAGTTTTTATTGCATACTTTTATGAGATACTTTTGCGCGCGACTCCGTTTGCGCGTAATTTAAAAAAAAAAAGCTAAAAGCAAGTAGCCTATGTGTTCTTTCAGACTTTGTTCTACATTTGAACCAAATTTTCATCGACATTCGTTCAGCAGTTTAGGCTACAAAGTCTAACAAACATTCATCGGTCTATCCAAACTTTCGTGTTTATAATATTAGTAACTAAGATATTAGTAGGCAAGCTAAAATTTGCGGATGAGCAAGTAGAATAAATACTAACTGTACCTACGTAAAAGTTACTTTGATAGAGATGTTAGATAACAGAACGAGTAAGCGACCACCTGAATCCGCCGAAATAGCGAAGCGACCGCTGCCCATAGACATTCGCAATTGCAGATAGGTTGCCTACCCTTAATTGACGGAGGAGGAGACGCACATGAAGATAACATTTCCTGTCCTTGCCGTACTAGACAAAGGTAGAAAGGGAAACTAAAACTTGGCCTGGACGTGGACTCATCAGACTGCACGTAATATTGTTGTTACCTCACGTCTGTCTTCAGTGTGAAGATGTTAAAGCGGACTCTACCACTGTTACATTTTATTTAATTATCTATGATACTGATGTAATAAAAAATAATGCAAATCTAATTCAATAACTAATCAGTTGTAGTCTCTGAGGGTAGTTGGTCTGTGCTCGCTGCGCAAACCTCGTCAAGTCGTCGCCAAACATCCTGTATTATGCACGGACCCGCCCGCCGGCCCGGCGGTGCTCTCGCGAGCGGGACAGGCAGATGTGACTGTAGCAAGAGCGAGTGGGACGGCGCTAGCGGCGGCGCAATGCACATCCTCGGTGCGCGGGGCGCAGGGCGGGGCTCCGGTGAATTATTGAAGGCGGCGACCGCCCTTTGGGCTGCGAGTGCCGGGGGCGGGGCGGGGGTGCGCGGCGGGCGCGGGGGGCGCCACTTGCCGCGCGCCTTTCCGCCGTCGCGCCAACTCGAGCAGTGAGCAGTTCTGCTGCGGCCATCTTATGCCGAGCCGCCGGGTGCGATGACCGTGCTGCTCACTTGCTGGTGACGCTGCTGCCACCTGGCAGCGAGGGGTGACCATCGCCCGTTAGACCACCGAGCGACCCCGACAGCCGGACGGTGGACAGTGGTGGCCGCGGCCAGTGACATGGAAATAAGTGATTAATTGACATTGAAAACAAACAGGTTGGTGCCGTTTTACTATTAAAACGTTAATGCCATTAAAAATGTATTTATTGCATGAAAGTTTTAGTATGTATTTACCTATACTTATATACCTAAAGTAAAGCCTTTAAGTAGAGTAGGTATGTATAACCGTTAAACTGAAAAAAATCTCTCCAATGTCATTGTTAATTTGTACTCGGTAATAGTTAAATTAGAGGATGTTATAAAGTGCATTCAGAGTGAATCCTGACACTTCAGTGTCTCAGACTAAGGCGTTACAAAACAGAACCTTATTTCACTACGGGACAAACAAATACGGACGGTGTATAATGTAGAATAAAAAAATCCATTCGCAGAATGAGAAGTACACACTAAATCGAGGAAATCGTTCAAAAATGTGCCGCCGGCGACGAGCTATGGACCACAAATCAATATAAAAATAATTTTAGAACAGTCTAAACGTTAAGAAAAATATATACGGAATATATATATTAAAAACTATTAGAGTGGAGGCACAACACAAAACTATAGCACCACTGTTAAGCGATTGTCGATTGTTTCGCAGCCAATTCAACTGTGTAGTTGCACAACTAACAATCGAGTAGTGTAACCTTCATAAACCTAAACTCATAGGAATCCAAGCGAGACTAAACAGTTCAGCGATAGTTTAGTCTCAGATGTGCGCACACAGTGTTAGAACCTTACCATGAAAACAGTGTTACAAATATATTTTAGTTGACGTTACTCTTAACCATGACTTTAGCAGACTTTTTACAAATCATGGCTCTTGAAACATTTTTATCCGTAGGTTTGTTAATCTAGTTATAAAAATAATAAAATACTTATATCGAAAGCAGTGTGTTCGTCCCATTTTTCTGGTGAAATTAACCACGTAGATGTCCATAATATAATTAAGCGGCGGTCAAGTTGAAACACGTGTTTAAGTAAACATAATAAATTATATTTATGGGGTAAAACAGAGTTGTAGGAGTGGTGCGCACTCGCAAGAGATATCTGTTTCATAGGTATTTATATGTAAGCTATAGGAATCGATCTTGTAGATTTAACATACAGGTTTGATATTATAATATCTATAATAACTACAAGAAACAATTATCGCATTCTCCTTGTGATTGTGTGAAATGAACCACTATTAAGTAAAGCGGCAAAATTTAAACATCTACGTATTTTTTTTCTAAAAATCATCCGACAAAGGCTCGCGTCAAAACGTAAATATCCTCAAAGATCCATTACTAAGTAAATCCTTTACATTTAACACTTGCGGTGAGAGATTAGGACCAATTGTAATGCTTCCGGACTCACAGACGATATATTTGCAAACTACGTATTAATGGACATCAACAAAGATGCCGCCAGGAAGCTGATTGTGCTGCGGATGTCCGACTGCAGACAATTAAACTCTTGTTAATATCTAAACAAAATAAATAACATCAAAACACACCTAAATATAGTTTGGATTAGCGGCCGAAACATAGACCCGTGAAATACGTTTTGTGTACTAAATACTAATAAAACAATTGCTAATTAGTAAAAAGCACTTCGCTACTTACTACACTATTCATTTGAGGCCATGAATTAACGGAGGCTGTTTTTTTTATCTTCTAGAAAGTTATCGCAAGCTCCACATTTACCTACCGTCGGGTTAGGACCTAATCTTGGGACTAATACACTACTTTAAGACTCGACTAATAAATCATATTATTAAATAATAATTTTTACTAAAATTAATAAATCCCTCGCAATAATTAACTGAATACACCGTCTCCATCGGCAAGATTAATTCGATGCGCGGACACAATACACGGCGTGGGGCGCGTGTTGCAGCTCAATCGCCCGGACCTGAGCTTTTACCTCACGCCGCTAACAAGCGCCCTCCGGAGAGCTAATTCCCTCCCGAGGGCGGAGGGGTCAGGTGCGACAGGGTGAAGGGTGATCGTATAATGTCACGTGATTTCACAATTATGCGACGTGTGAAGAGGTTTTTATAATATTTAAACATCTCCTGTTCAAAGGTGTCGGATATAAACTGTACGGATTTGAATGTATAATGTCGCCCCTCAGCCCTCAGCCCTCAGCCCTCAGCCCTCAGCCTCCAGCCCTCAGCTGTTAGTGTTCAGTGAGGGTGTTAGGGCGAGGCGCGGCGTCGCTTTGATTTCATCTCACATAATTATCATTATGAATATAGATATTCGTTTCATGTGTAAAAATAACAATAGATAGATTACGTGAAAAGTGACATGATCAAAAAGTATGTGGTGACTGAGATGTCAGAAGATTAACATGGAGATTGCAGACCCTACGGGAGTAGAATAAGAAAGCAGATAATGTATAAAAAAGCGAAAAACTTTAAGGCGTTTGAAGAACAAGTTTCCAGTATTTCACTCTGCATCTTTAATGGTCTATCAGTTCTGTAACTTCCGCCCCGCAGTGTGACAACGTGATTAAGTGTAAAGTGGTTGTCCCTCGGGAAGAAGTCCGGACCAATTACAAGGGACAAATATTTGTATCAGAGTGACACGCGACACGCAGCGCGCTGCTAGAGCTGTTGTGGTGTTTGAACATTTGATAATCCAATAGATACACTTGTTAATTGACTGCGGGAATTTCTTTAAAGACATGTCAATGTGCGCGTTTACACTTGGCCAGTACAGTTGGTCAGGAACGCACTGGAAAGTCAATTAACTGATAGACTGTGAACGCTAACAAGCGCCAATAAGTGTCGCTTGCCGTCGCAACTGTCTGTCAGTGTGTACCGGGCCTTAATTAGTAGATAGCAACCCTTATATGACTTT